AATGTAAGTAAAAGACATACAATGTTTGGAATTTCAAGGAGTATCTTTAAGAAAAAATCTATAGTTCATTCTTTGGTAAATTGTTATCTGAACAGCGTACACAAATGTTAAACCCTTCAACAAATAACATTTCAGGAAGTGCTAAACTTCTGGAAGTTCAGAGGAGTTCTAGATTTCTTAATGTTGTTTTGAAACTATGTCTTTAAATTGGACTTGTATTTACATATAAGAACTACAAGACATGCAGCATGTAGCATCACAACTGACAGGACTTAACATGACCGAAGCAGAAGGTGGTTTGTTATGAAAGACTGAAAGTGCTTGCCCCATCTTGATTTGTAATAGAATAACCAGGAAGGAGGTGTATCCAAACTGGCCTTACCTTACTGTTTGATAGTTTTCCAACAGCTGTTTTCCAGGAGACTTTTTTTTTTGTCTTTCAGTAAGTCACTGATGGTGTTCATCTTGTAACTGGTGTTGGAAACTTTCTTTTAATTATGTATTTTTTAAAAACCTCTGGGTGAATTTCATGTCTAGAAGCTTTGTTCCATATTAACTCTAACCAAAAGCTTTACTTCACAGTTCAGTAAGATTTACTTGTATAATAATACAATGGGTTTGTTTGGTTTTAATTTAAAATGTTGTATGTGGCTGTAGGTAATTAAAAACATTTCCTGAAAAATTGTGGATTTGACTGTACCATGCTGGAATTGCCTCTGCTGATCATGAAGAGTTGAATAATAGTCATTTGTCACATAGGGTGTTGACTCAGACACAGATGATTTCAATTCAGATGATAGAGGGTGTTACAAAACCCAGCTGTTGACTCTGCTCCTCTTTCCACAAGTTGCTTTGTCTGTGGCAGGAATGACTGACCTGTGGAGCAGTTTTTGACAGCCACAGTTTCTGGCCTAATTTATTCAAGTAAACCAGTGATGACTTTTAAGTTGTTTTAATGCACTGGGTTGGCAACTCCAACAGTTTAGGAGCTGTTTCTAATGTACATTGTGAGTGCTAGCATGGTAGTGGCAGCCTTTGGAGAAGAGTGAAAGGCCAATAGGATGCTTAAGTTGCCTGTATTAGTGCAGAAATTCTCTGTTTCTGATTCACATTCACACTCTTTTTCTGATTGAAAAAGAGTTTTTGCAGCAGTGTGCCAGCACTTACACAGCAGTTGCAGACAGCCACTGGCAAGACATTTTCTTGGCTCAAAATTATTAATCTCAAACTAAGGCAATTTCTCCAAGAGCTTTGGTTGTTAATCAAATTTGGAGAAAAGACAACAAGAAACATTAAAACAGATACTCTTCTTTGAGGTTTAAATTGCATTGAGATTGGAAGAAGAATGTTTACTTTTTTAGAAAAGGTACATGGTGGATTCTATTGAATAAATCAATAGGGTGTTAAATAGGAAACTCTTGAGACAAAACTACCAGGTAGGCTGCTTAGAAGGGAAGAATGAAAATAGGTTTTTGGTTGGGAAGGGTGCCAATTTTCCTTGCTATCCTTCTAGGATAATACCTTGCTGAGCTTACAAGGGAGCTCTGGTGGTTAAGGACTTGGTTGACTTCTCAGTAGAGTCAGGAAAGCTAACTTCGATAGCAGTAGGTGGAAGAGACAGCCCAATTTTAATGTTAGAAAAATATCAAATAGAGGCTTCTTGTTTATTTGTATCTAGATACCTACTATATAAACTTTAGATTTCTGCCCTTCAAACAGAGTTGTTTTCCCAAGAAGAACTTAATTCTTCTTTTGGTTTTGATTATGCCTTCATAGCCTTTTTCTGGAGTTAAAAATAGAATACTGATATCTTCTGTCTAATTAACTTGTGGACTAGATGCCTCTGTTGCCTTTTTTTCTCCTGTAACATGATTGAATTCCTTGCACTGCAGCAACCCTGAAGTCATTACACTGCACTTAAAACAAAATGCAGAAAGGAATGACCTTTTGCTAGGACTCTGTGTTGTTTATATTGCGAAGCCTGATCACCATCTCCCAGCAAAAGCCAGTTTAATCCTTAAACATTAATTAGATAGTATCTGTTCAGAATTGTCTATTGTTTGCTGTCTGCTTCTCATTGATTATAACGTTGTGCATCTCCACAATGCCCCTATTTGCCCCTTGGCTCTTCATTGTACAGGGCAGCTCTTATCTTCCTTGCTGATAGCATATCACCAATGGTACCAGTTAAGAGCTGAAAACACTTGTAGCATAATGGAAAGTTCCACTTTTGCCAGGATGACTCACTAATTAACCCCGGGATGGGGAGGCTTCCTGTGCCAACTTAGGAAAAAGTTACGGGAAGATACTATTATATATCAAAAGATAAATGATTGGAAGAGTTTTGTCAGCATTATAGGAATTACATTTTTTAACTCTCAATCTTAGAATTGAGAGCTTGGAAACTCACTGAATAGATACTTTGGAAATAATTTACATCTTGCTTTGCTTTAGGAGCAGATAGACAACTGCTGAGAAGAGTGGACTGGTACTAACAGTATTGGAGGCAAGCTGTACATCCATAAGGCACTAAATACCTTTTCTTTCCAACTGAACACAAGCTTTTGGCTTTAAATAGGCCACTGTTGTAATGAAGCTACCAAGCTGACCGCTTGGGAGGGAAGGAAGAAAATAGGCTTGGTTTTGGGTGATGTCAGGGCTTGGGAGGGTTCTTGGGACTGTGAGGAGGCCAGGGAAGACTGGCTGCTGTGCAGAATGCTCTCGTGTGCCTGTCAGACATTGCTGAAAGTGAGTGGGTGGCTGGGGTACGGTTTCACTGTCCCAGCCTGGTGTGGATGGAATGTCTGTAATTCAGGACTTCAGCAAATTTGTCTTGTGGACTTCAAGGAATCCTGTGATGCCTTCATAGTGCTGGGGGCACAATTTAGTTTTCGTCAAGGAATCTTTGCCAGATCTGAAAGATAAAACATTGTGTGTCCATAGTAGGCTTGAACCAAACAGTGTGGTCACTACATAAAGACATATGATGGGTGTAAATATCTCTAAAAGTGTGCTTGGACTTGTTCTATTAACATTTGGGGATTTCAGGCTTGACAAGTGGCTATAAAATGCCAGAATACAGATATTTTTAATCTCCAGTGGAGCTGCTTCATTGATTTCCCCTCAGATGCATACATGTGCAGAGGTGACTTCTGCTTTTTGCCCCAAGGAGCATCTGTTGTTTATCCAAAATACAAAAGATTAGACAGACTTGTTACCTGATTGTCTCTTTTTGGCTGGTTATCTCAGTCTGCTGCCTGTCTAGAAGGAAAAACAGGTGCTGAGCTGTGACAGGCTTTGTAACCATGCAGAGCAAATTGAGGGGCATGAAGCAGAAAAGAATGGAACTTTGTACTATAGACTGAAAGCAAAAAGAGATGAGGAAACTAATTTTGTTAAGAAAATGAGCATGCCAAGTAAAATACAGGTTCAAACCATTTGTTCTCTTGAGAAACTTTATGGTCTAAATTTGACATAGACTGTAGCAAGTATCCAAAGAACTGCCATATGGAAGAATAGCAGCTTGTGTTAAAATCATACACTTAACAGCTTAATTTCTAAATCTCTATTGAGCAGTGTCTCAATTCAGCAGTAGAAAAAGGGTGCTTCATGGGGAGACGAGTGAGAAAGGAATGGTGTGACTTTTTGAGTAGATCTTGCAGGTGAAAAAGGAAAGACTGGAAGAACTGTCTGTAGTGAGGAGCGAGACATGAATCCAGGTGTAATCAAAACAATTTCAGTTTATTACTCAATAGTGACGTTACTGCTGGAACTGACTAAATCAAATATTTTCAACATCTCACCAAAGAAATGACCAGTCCAGGGAAGGGTAAATAACACTGCCTTTTTTCTTTTTTTTTTTCACTTAAGTAATTTTTTTTTAAAGTTGGACATGAATTATCAACTGCAGTTCCGTACACAGTATAGAGTAAATGTCAGCAACACTCTGTTGTGCTAAACCCTTTTTCATTTCCCTTGCCTCAAATTAAAGCTTAAGCATTAGAACAGAAACCAGATAGAATCCAAGCTCTGTAATTTCTCATGAGGCAAAGTGCTTTTGTGATGGTCATGATGTGTTGTCATTACATCAGTAGCTCCCAGTGCTTCTCCCAGAGCGCAGAGATCCCTGGGAGCTGCTCCCTCTCAGGGGGCTGGAGCTGCCAAATCTCAGCCCTATAGCAAGCACACTATTCAAAATCAGTCCACTTAGCACCTTTGACTTAGAGCTGCAAGGGGCTGACACCCACTGGAAGGTGACCTGGAAAGCCTTTCTGGAACAGTGTACCTGTCCATACAGGAGAAGCTGATGGAAAGTATTTTCAGCTTTCAAATCTTTATGAGGATCTTTCTGAATCGAGTGCTGGGGTTTTTGACATCAACACTGTGATAAGCAGAACTGGATCTGTAATGGCAGAAGATGGCAGGTATTAAACTGTGAAATCTGAAAGGGTAAAAGTAACAATTCAAAGTTAGTGGAGACTACATGCCCAAAATAAAAAAGGGATGGCTGCTTTTGTTTTAAATAAAGTCATCCTCCCTCAACTCCACAATAAAGCACAGGACAAACAATGAGCATGTTGGGGGAGGGAAGGAGAATGATGGGAGAATAATAATCATCTGTAGAGAAAGTAACCACTTAGGATCCCAGAGTCCTGCTCTTTTAAACAAATGTTGACTTTAGTTCTCTCTTTATGGATTTGGAGAGGAAAAGTCTCTGAAGTTCTATTTCATTTGAAGTTACTGGGGGAAATGTTGCTGGATTCTCAGTACTTCAAACAAATCACGAGTATTGATACTTTGAATATTTCATGTGGTAACACATGAAATATTGATAGATAAATATAAAATTTTATTTGATAAACTCCAGTGTCTCATCCTCAGCTCTGCTGTATTATTGTGTGTATACTCATGAGCTGTTTTTACATTTATGTGAAAAATAATATATGTGAACAGTTCTTCACCTTTGTAGAAAACAATTTCAGGTCTTTCTGTGTTCACAGGTTTCGGATGCAGTCTGAGTCTGAGAAGTATGAAGAAGAGATGCCTTCTCTGCACTGGGGCATAGATCCTGTATTTTCTGCATTTGCAAGACTTTATATAAAAGATATTACAGAAATGAGAGAATCTATACAGGTGCCAGGTATGTATTTATATGTGCTGATTATGATGCACACAGTATTATAATTGATTTATGTTGTGCTTTTTTATGAAGGGATTGAAGAATACTTCACAAACATCAGTAAAGTAGTATTCCATTATCTTAAGCTAAGTGATTTTAGTATCTTTTAGCAGTTCTAAGAACATGTGTGTATGTGAAATGTATGTGAAAAATAAAATATATTTGTTAAAATGGTTTTCCTTTTTCTCCAGAACCTCTTTTACATTAAGGTAATGTTGTGTTTCCTCTGTGTGGTGGTGCTTGTTATATTCTGATAAGGTTAATTCTAAAATATGCTTGTCCTTTCTGGCTATATGCATTGTTATCTCTCCACTGTCTCTACATTTTTTGCACGATTTTGACAGCTGATGACATTGCTGGATATGTGATTTTACTTTTTCCTATGGATATTAATACATTATAAGACAGATACAAGTTTTGAGGTTTTGTCTCCTTCATTTCTAGATATCCTGATAAATTACATTCTTCATACATTGGAACAGCCTTATTGTAAACTCTGGCCTCCGTGCTGGACCTCACCCCACAAGTGTCTGCTTTGCAGTCTGTGTCCTGCTGGTCTGCAGTGTCACCCACGTGTGAGCTTGGGCTGAAGCAGCACAGCTCTGACCTTGAGCTGCTGTTTTCTTTACCCAGGCTGTAAATAGACTGCAGTGTGTCTTCTGCTGTGGAAGGGTTCATTACTCCCAACTGAAGCCTGACACAGTGCAAGATTATTAGGGAGGAACCCAGAGAACTTAGAATTAATGAGGAAAAGCAATAAGCTCTAAGCACAGTGTATGTCTTTGGTTTGGTTTTGATGTTTTATTTGTGGTTTTTTTTTTTTTCTGTCCACAGAGACTAAGTACCCATGTTTGGCTTTTTGAATATGCTTTGCCTTGTAGGTTTTGTTATTATTTTTCAGTTTTGTTTAACAGCAAGGATAGCAGCAATGCTATTTTTGGAGAAATGAAGGACTGACAGGTTTTTTTTCTCTTGTTGCAGCCATTTTTATGTACATAAGGACTTCATAAACCACAAATACCAGTCTATCTTGGTTATTTAACATAGCGAGAGATTTTGTCTTGAATCCAATAATTAGGCTACATCAACTGTTGTTGATGTTTGTCCTACAGTAAGTTTTACTTACAGGCCTTTTTCAACTGTCTTATAAATGTCTTCTAGTAGTGCTGCTGTGGGAAATGCATCTGGTAAAAACTGTTCTTCATCAGTTACAGATATTTTAATTGTTTTCAAACAAAATACAACACAATTCAATGCCAGCAGAATTGGGCTGTAGTTTGGACTTGAACATTAGTACATACACATGCTAAATTCAGAATAATTAACCTTATAAACACCAATAAACATTTCATGATAGCAGGAACAGTCCTAGAAAGTACAGTCCTGCTCTTTTTTTCCCCTCCAAAATACCTGAATTTCCCTTCTTACTTCTCTTCCTGTTCTTTTACTTAAATGAGTTGGCTTCTGCTTCAGGAACTTTTTCAGTTTTATTATTACCTGTGGGGTTTTTTTTCCTAAGATCATCTTAAGGAGGTGGTATCTGTCATGTCAAGATATCAGCTTTACAGTTGGAACATTTGAGCTTTCTCCACTTCCTGTGCATCTGTCACTCTGCTTGCTTGCAATCCTGCCTCATTTTCTAAACCACACTTCAAATAAAATGGAATTTTCTACAATCAACATCCTGAATTGTGTTCATTCTCCTGGTGCTGTGTATACACCAAAGCAGACATTTTTCAGTGTATTTTATTTGTTGGCAACAAATGATAGCACAACAAAAACACTAAAATTAATACCTTTTGGGGAGGGAAGGATGTAGGTGTTTGTTGTCAATGCTTCCTGCCTTTAATGGGCTTTTAAAGACCAGCTGAAGCTAAGTATATGGTTGATTATAAATCAGTCATTAAGTAATGGTAATTAAGAATGAATGAGTGCAAAACAAAAAGTTGTAACTAGGAAGAATGGAAAGAAACACAGTCTGAATGTCAGGAAAAACATCCCTAGAATGACATCTGTTAGACCATGGCACAGCCTTCCCAGGAAAAAGGGGGGATGCCCTTCACTGGGGTTGTTTATATTCTGACTGTACAGATTGCCAGGAATTTACTGTACAAAATGGTCTTGTATTGGCCCTGAGGAAATGGACTGAATGACCTAATGAGTTTTTTCTTTCCACTTTTAAACATTAGGATTTGATGCCACAGTGACTAATCCCTTAAAACAACAAAGAGGGAAGCAGCAAACCTGGCCAATTACTCTGCTGCTATAAATGGTGACAAGAAGGCTGGAAAACCTCCCAGATAAAAACAGCAATTGTGTTGTCTTAGCAGCCTTGCAATGAGAGTGGGTGTCAAACTCAGTTGTAACACATAATCACATCATGGAAATGAGCTTTTCTCAGAGTTATCATGCACCACTGCTTTGTGACAGTTTATCAACAAGGAAGGGAAGCCACAAATAGCATAAAAGGAGGTAATAATAATTAAAGGAATGGCAGACAGCACAGTAATGCTGGTACAGACATGACCAGCACTTGCCCTAGAGAGCTCTGTATCTGTAGCCCCCTGTAGCACTGCTGTGCCTGTTGTGGTAGTGGCATTTTACTCTCTGTGTTGATTACTGGGGTATTAGGAACCTCACTGAATGTGTTTGACTACAGCTTCAAATATTTAGTATATATTTATTGCTATCAATATGGACTTAATTTGAACAAATGAACTGGCAGGAAGAGTAATTTACACCTTGAAGTCATCAAGTCCAACAACTTTTAATAGGTTAAATATAATTTCATTCTTCAAATTAATTTGGGTAGTTTCTCTGAGAGTAAGGGTGGAGTTCTGCGTGAATTTATGGGGATGGAGAGAACCAGTTTTATTTGGTCTCTGTCATCTGCCAAAACTCAGCTTGCTAACTGGGAAACAAACATAATAACATGTTGCTTATTTGCATAATTAGGAGCTTGGAGTCTCTGCTCCACAGCCTTCTCTGAAACTATCCCAGACCTTTTACATAGATGTTGTAAGATTCAGTGAGTGATTACATACACTGGGAGCATCTCCACTGGGGGTTTCTGTAGCAGTGTTTATTTGTGCCCTGGTAAATGAAGTGAGGGACAAGTGGACAGACCTGCTAAACATTGTCTATGCCAGACCTGACCAGTGACTGCACAATTAGTATAGCCAGATCTGAGATGATAGCCATAGATGCATCCTCAAAACACTGCAGTGGATTTTTATGAGCAGAAATTCTGCTCATGAGCTGTTTGGCTGATCACCTCTGATTTCATCTGAAACTTTTGTGTTTCCTCTCTGCCTTGCGTGAAGAAAGTTAATTCTAGGCTCATTTAAGGATGCTAGCTATGTAGGACAAGTTATTTTTGGATTTTGGATTTAGGTTTTTTTTATAGAGAACATTTTTCTGACTCCCTTGCTGCTGTGTTTCCCTTTGTAAGAATAACACTTGCCACGGTGTATGGATCCAAATGTTCCCTTCTGAATCCCTCGAGTTATCTAGTTTTCAGAAGACAGTTATTGAACATCCCAGATGGCTTATTTCAGTAAAGCAGCAGTATTTGAAAACTGAAGAAAACACATTCACTGAAAACTAGCCAGCCCAGGGAATATTTGGAGCTTATTGCCCTATTTTCCTCCTGCTGTTGGACTGTGAAGCCTCAGTATATGATGTTTACACTAGTGTTTGTTAACAACATTTGTCACTCTCTTGAAAAGGGTGACAGAGCAAGGCAACCTCAGTGCTGTCAGAGTCCACTGGGCTGTGATTTCTCACTGTTTCCTGGACATGTTTCTAAGTGTTATTTAAGTTATCTTTATGGATGCACAAAAATAGCTTTGAAGGGATGCTTTTAGAGCATGTGTTTTCAGAAACTGAAGTTCAGGATGCAGTCCACAAGGACTGCAGTAGTTTACTCTGCAGTCTGAGAGGACTGTTGCTCTCCCCCTGCCCCCACGGCTCCTGTTCTTCTAGAAATGAAAGACAGAATTATGTTAGTTTTCCTTTCGGAGGCTCTGCCTTAATCAGGAACAGCTGCATTGTGAGAAGCTCAAACTGCTTCCTTTGTGTTCTATTATTTATTCTGAAGCCTTATGAAGATATAAAAAAACCCCAAAGCAAAGCAAAACAAAAACCCAAATGAAACAACAAAACAAACAAACAAAAACCCCCTAATACTTGCAGCATTCAAACTCTTTTTCGATGTGCAGGAAAACAAGAGGTTAATAAGATTCTGACACTCTACAAAAGCAAGCTTTTGTATCCAGCTGATACTTTCTCCTTTTAGTGTCCCTAGTCTTCAGTGATACAGGGGATTTTTCCTGTGCAGGCACTGTATAATTTAAGATATATTAAATATGTAAGAAAGTATGTTTTTCATTGACAAATGTGACTGTGTAGGGTAAGTTGTTGAAAGAAATAGTTACACTAATCCAGCATGTTTTGTTTCTAGGTGTATTCTTTTATAATGGACATCCAATAAGACAGGTGGATGTTGTTGGGATAGTGGTTCAAACAAAGGAGCGAGATGCCTTTTATAATTGTGGAGGTAAGGAAAATGTCTTTCTTTCTTCTTGCACTTCTCAGCCTTTTATCTTAGTTACTGTTACAACTGAAAGGTTTCCTAACATGGTCATTGTGGAGTCTTGAAACAAATGTGCTCTTTTCCTAAGATATATATCTGTGTGTATATATATATATCTGTGTATATATATAAAATATATATATATATATATATATATATATATATATAAAATATATATATATGTAATGTATATATCCATATATATACATATATATACATATATATACATATATATACATACATATATATAGTTGTAGATATACATTATATATATACAATGTATATCTACAGCTGAGATTACTTAGCAAATGTAGGGAAGCTGCTGTTTATCTCTGCTTCAAAAATAGAGAATTAAATAGCACAGAGTAATTGATTAATGTTGGGTCATGCAGCAAATCTTAATTTTGGGTGTTGCTCTGTCACTGGACTCTGCCACCTTCCTCTCCTATTTGCAGTACCTTTGGTTAGAAGCAAACATATTTAACAGTGCCCACAAATGGGAAATCACTTCTTCCACATTTGAACCTTAGAAATCCCTTCTTACTTTTTGTACGTCTTGTCACAACTTGGAGCCAACTTCTAATAGCAGTAAGGAGCTTGTTTATGTTTAGATGCACAAGAGTTTTAACAAATGAACTCAAGCATCATAGTACCAGTCCTTCCAACACCAGCTGGGAGTTGTCTCCTCCATACTGCTTTTCCCAGTATTCAGTTTTATTAACATGGAAACATCTGATTGTCATTTTGTTCAGCTGTCTTTTACATCTGGAGAAAAAGCAGAGTGGAGCAGTGGTGATGTGGCAAGTTTCAAAAGGTGGGGGGAGGTCACCTCACAGTAGGAAGAGGGAGCCAAATGCACAGATCCTATTGAAGCCCTTATGGGCAGTGTTTTCTTCTGCCATGGATTTTCACCTGGTGGAGGTGAGTCACAAGGTGCCTCTCCTTCCCAGTTCCCTTGCCTGTAAGATTGCAGTTCCCTGAGCCTCAGGAGTACTGTGAAGATACAGCTGATGAATTAACCAGGTCCCAGGTTCCACAGCATCAAACTGCTGCAGGGTGGCAATGACTGCAAATGCATTTATCACTTCATGAGAAGTGAGGAAGACAGAATCAAAATGACCAAGACAAAACCAGTTCTATGGGTAAGGGTTTTCCATGCTGTTCTCAGCATCAGTTTAACAACTAAACTTGTTGAAAATGTTTGACTGGAGCAGAAAGTGGAGGAATAGAATTAAAAGGAACTGCCGAGTAGTGGAATTAAGGCCTTAGATCAGCCGACCTTCAAGTGCAGCTCACAGTAAGCCTGGCTTTCTTTCCTGCTGTCCTTTCACATCCAACTCCACTCTTTGTTCCAGCAGTTCCTGGTCTGAGTTTTCAGGCTACCTGCCAGGGTGTCCCTCCCCAGCCTGCCCTCCCTTTCAGGCAGGCCAACTCTGCCAGCACAAAACTGTAACTTCTTAGACAGTTTCCTGCTTGTAACTTCTTGCATCTCTCGGTTCAACAGACTCTGGTGAGTCACAGGGGTTGCATCAGTTGGAGCGACACACACTGCTCAGGGCTTGCTCACTCTCCATCTGCTTAAAAGTGACTTACAAAGCAATTCCCCCTTTGTACTTTCCCTCTGATAGGGAACTGAAATGTCTTTGTGTCCCTGCCGTGATCCTCCCCCCTCATTTCCTATTTGTCTGTTTCAGAATACACTTCACTCACTTTAAAGAATCTTAGGTCCTCTGCTGAAAACTACAGCCAGAACTGATGACAAAATTATAATTGTAAAAAAAAGAGTTAATATACTCTTTCCTGGCTTAAAAAATAAAAATTACATGCTGTGTAATTTCTGATTTTGACACTTTGATTTGTTTGTTTCTTGCTATTATTATGATAAGTTAGGAGAAAGCTAATTAAAACATAGCTTTGATCAAGTTCATATTTTACCTAATGCACCTTTCTGACCTCTCTTGTCCCCTTTCCTTTTTAATGAAACCAAACATCACATGTAGTTTTCTTTGTACTCCAAAACTGACTTGAAAAGCTGAATGGCAGTTGACTTAAAAAAAATAATTCTCCAGCATCTCAGTAGGTTCATGCAGACCTGACAAGACCCACACCCTTTTTGTCATAAAGAAATAAAAATTTAGACAATTATCTCATTTAGCAGGTAGCTTTGAGCTACCCCTCAAATAATTAAGCAAGAATCAAAGAAATCAAAGTCAAACAAACAAACAAAAACCAGGGAAAAAATGCAACAAACAAAAAGTAAACCCACAAAAAACCCAAATAAACAAAAGTTAAACCAAAAGAGATGAGGAAGGGCGGCACAGGGAGCACAGGAAGTTTTCAAAAGTTTGTAGACCCCTTGTGCATTTAAAATAGATCAACATTCTCATGTCTAATTAGAATACAATTGCAAGGGTTCTCATTCATCTGTACTTCAGGAGTTACTTGTCTTTTTACTCAAAGCTTTCATCCATGAAATTGCAAAACTTTGTTTCAGAACCTTGCTCTGCTACCAGATCCCTTCTGTGGTCAAGTACAGGTCAGTCTGTTTTCAGCTGTTACATTGAGGAGGAGGAGTCTGGCCTCCTAATCCTTCAGTCTTACTTGGTTTGTTTCCAAGCCCTTGGTAGGAAGCCTGTCTGTCTTGGTTGGTGCAAGCTGGAACATCTAGAAACTGCGGGAATGCAAGAGTGAAATGTTATCTGCCCTGCTTCTTGTTGCCATTGCTGGCTTGCATGGATGGCTTGGCCAGGGCTTATGAGGGTTCTGCCTCCGACTAAAATAGTTGCTGTCTGTCTGTACCAAGGAGAGGAAATCCTACCAGCAGATCATTATCTGTGCTCTGGTACAAAATTAAAGCTGCTGAAATAGTTGCAGACACAGCAGCTCAAAACAGAGAGAAGAGAGGAGCATATTTTTGTGATGGAATTTGGAATTGCCTGCATTTTATAAGTGCTGTTAGTTTTCTAATAGGAATGTGCAGCTAAACTGCTTGGAAACAGGAAGGCAAAACAATAATTTGCAATTAGACCCCCCCCATATAGGGAGATTGTTTTAAAGCATGTGAGACAATGCAAAGGAATTTTGCTTTGATACTATGGTTCCCAGAGGAAATTACTGCAGGTATCAATCAGCACCTTCGTGTAAACATTGCTGATACTTTTTTAGTCATGGACCTGGTTTAAGGAGCAGAAGAAAATTGCAGGTTTCCATTTGTGAGGAGTGGAATCTCAGTCTTGGAGATGTTACATTCAAGAAGCAAGGTGCATTGGCTGGATGATCCTTGACAGACATTTAGTGTCTTTCTATTTAGAGTGTTTGTTGCACAGGCCATCTATATACAGTCCCTTGATTGACAGAAAATTGATTCTTCAGACAGACTTTAGTTTCCTTTGAGTTTTGTCTTTTCCTGCTGCCATCAACACTGCAGTGCCTGGAGCAGAAATCGTCAAACTTATTTTCATTGGACACTGGCAGAACAGGAAGAGCAGCTCGGTGCTCAGGAGAAGATGTTGAGCCTTTTCAGCAGAGGAAGTGGCATGCATGCCACCAGCACCTACACTCTGAACTAGGAATTCCTTGCTTAGAGTAGAACCACAAGTATGCAAGTCTTCTGTCCTTCCTGCCTAGAGGAGCTGCCTTTCTGCTCCCTGGACATCATCCTATACTGCAAAGACCAGCAGACTTTGAGCATAATATTGGCATGGAAAACAATGCAGCTGCAGGTAGCTGCACTCCTGGTTTATTCACATGGTTTTATCCTCAAATGTTGAAGTTATGTTTTCTCACTGTAACAGTAATGCTCCTGTAGTTTGTGCCTGGTTTCCTGTTTTAATTTGTCTGACTACAAAACTGATTCTTCTCCTGGCCTTATCAACAAGATTGAAACCCCTTAGTATCCAATATATGTACTGAAGCCTCATCATTTAAATTAGTATATGATCTTTCTTTGAGAATATACCTGTTATTTTGCTGACTATGCACATAAGCACATCTGGTGCTGAGCTACTTCCATGTCTGAAACAACTGTGGAAATTATTTCAAATATGCAAGTAGAGTTTGGACATACACTTTACCTTCCAAACTAGTTGGAATGAGATGTCCTTGACAGTTATCTCCCTACATATTTATATATCTTCACTTCTTGGAACATGACTGCCTTCTTTCCTAGTCTGTAATTCTTGAAATTTTTTTTGCAGTGGATGATAGTACTGGAGTTATAAATTGTGTCTGCTGGAAAAATCCCATGGTAGCAGAAACACCTTTATCAGGTAATTTATCAAATAAATAAGTCTTCTTTTGACTGTATGTTTTTACTTATGTCTATCTTAAGTAATTTAGTAAGTGATCAAACATGCAGAAGAGCAAATTCAACTGTTTTTTTTTGTTTGTTTTTTTTTTTTTTAATTTTAACCCACCACATCATACTCCCTGGGCCATTTTGGGAATTTTCTATTAGTTTTTGTGCTGTGTTCGAGGGTGATGCCAATACAAGCATTACATTATGTCCTGTCCCTGCCTTTTCCTTATTTGAGTAATATGATATTTCAGTTCTGTGCTGTGACATTGTTGAGAGAATTTGCCTGTTAAGGTTCTTTCTGTGACTTCATCTAGTAAGGAACTAGGCTGGAAACGTGCCACAACTTCTGTTTCCAAAGGCAGCCCATTGACCTGTCCTTGTGATTATGGTTTCAGGATTTATCCTTGCTTTGTTTGTATTCACATATTCCTGCTCATACAGACACTGTACCAATGAACTTGAAAGTAGCTTCAAACACAGTGGGAGGATGCCAGCTGTCTTTTACAATTTGGGCAAGGCCTAAATGTGCAGCAATTGTGCATTTGAAATTAATGTAATATTGCATTCACTAGCAGAACAACTCACTAGTGTCTGGCTGTCTCTTTGCTTTTTCTCCCACTGATTCTTGTAGATCAAAGTCCAGAATTCTTTCTACTTTGAATCTTCTTGGAAGCCCTTGTAGTGGATTGACAACCCTAATATGGAACTGATCAAATCCTACCAAAATAAATCTTACTGGTGTCATCTGCAGTGTTAGGGATACATATTAATAGAATGGAGAAAGGAAAGCTTGATGAAAAAGTTAAAAACTCTGATATCTGTGGAATAAGCCCATTTATACAGACAGATAATTCATACTTATATTTAATGATCCTATGACAGGTGGTACAAATGGTCCCAACTGTAATGTAGAAGACAGTTCTCACTTTAGAGAGGTGATGATCTGGCACAGCTCTCAAAAAAAAAAAAATAGGAGACACGCAATCAAATCAGTTTTAAGGAACTTAAATGAGGAACTTAGATGCATTAAAAGGAATTGCATGAAATACTGCTTGAAATAGAATGAGGGTCAAGAATGCTTTTCAGCCTTGTGTTCTTATTTTACACATACATCAGTAGTGCTTGGATGGACACTATGCTAAGAATGGCAATTCATTCATTTGTACCTGCTAAAGAAAGCTCTTGGGGGGAACAAGAAACTTTCTTCCAGCCTTTTGTAATTGTGATCAGGGATACTTGGAGCAATAATTAGGTTTTAAATTATGAAGGATTTACTGTCCTACATAGCTGTGTTATGTAAACCCTGAAGTTCTGTCAAGTTGCATTCACCTCACTTGCATTCCCCTCAGTGTAGACATCAAATTGCATCACATGAATGCTTTGGCCCCACCTCAGATGACTCATTCTTCTTTTGTATAAAAAGTTCAGCTAACTTTTCTTTTCCCCTCTCATCCATCTTAGCATGATAAAATCAAAAAATGACAAAAACTATTTCAAATTTATGTTTCAATTTTGCAACCTATCTATGACATTTTCAGTGGTAAATCAGTACCTTCTCCCTTTTGTATTTTCCCCAGATGAACAATTTAAATAAGTATAATACAGTAATCAAATTTTGTCACCCAGAAATTTTCCTACCCAGGACACATGGTGCCTGGGACCTTACCCTTTTTTAGTGATAAGACTCCTCTGGTGCTTAGGTGTATACATGCAAAAGGATAATTAATGCATTGACTTTAGTGTCTGACTCCCTTTCCCTCACTTCTTGCAGGTCATCCAAGCACACCCAGCAGTCTCAGTGTGTTTGAACAGCTGAAGAAACTCCAAGAAACAGTAAGCCAGAGAACCAAGCTGGAGATTGGAGATGTTGTCAGGGTCAGAGGTCACATCCGAACCTATAGGCAAAAAAGAGAAATTCAGGCTTCATGTTTTTGTGAGTGTTATGAATCTGTGATATAGGTAACTGAGATGTCTGAATCTGTGAAAACATATGAGCTGTATGTAATTAATTGAATATTTTTCACATTATTTTCTGGGATTTCATTTTTCTAAGGATTTTCATCTGTATATCTTTATTTCAATTGTAGCAGCATAAGGTTAGAAGACACACTATGTAATGTGTGAGATTAGATTGCCTGTAAACGAAGCATTCCTGGAAAAACTGTAGAAGCTGATTAGCATGCATACAAGAACACCACACAGATAGTGTGGTTGGGTGTCTGCAAGAGTGATTTGCTCTTCAGATTTCTCTGTGTTGAAGCAGAGCAGCCACAGCCTGTGGAGAGGGCGCTGGTGACCATCTGTGTCCCACTTCACTGAGGGCTTTGGAGAAGTGGCTGCTGTTTGTCACAGCCTGTACAATCCATTCCATGGGCAGGCAGCAGCATATGGGTAGTGTCCCACTGAAGCCTGGCTTCCCTCAGCTCCCTGGCTCTGCAGGATGAGGGAGAAGTGTTCCTCAGGCACAGATCTGCATGCAGGTGCTGCCTCTGTGTCTGACAGCTCTTGGAGCAGCAAGGCTCTACAGCCCACAGCTCTGGGAACTTCCAGTTACATAACTTCTTCTCAGCTCCATGTCTGTGCTGTTGTGTAAGAGTTGGTTTTCTCCAGTGAGATCTTACAGAGATAATACTGAAATTATTTCTTTAGTGAAGAAAATCCCGTCTTTTAAAAACCCTGTGTAAATCAGATAAAAAGTCTAGATTTTTCAGCTCTAGCTTAAATTTGCAAGGGAGTTCAACCCTCCTTTCCAGACAGAAGATTTATGAGTATATACAACCCATTCATGGGTTGGTAATAATACCAAAGAGAGCCATGCAAGTCAAATAGCCTCTAAATTGCTTTCACTTTGGCCCAAATAAAGCTCCTTACTATGTGTTAACTTCATTTAATGGATAAAGGCTGCTGAAAGGTAAAATAGAGATCATAAATTCTGGTTAAATAAGTTTTCAGACAAAAGCATAATCTGTAATGCACCACAACAGGCCATTTTACCTCCTTGTAAACTGTAAAAGAAGGATTGGCCTTTGTGGTTTGTTTTTATAAAAACCACAGTGAACAAATTTTGCCAACTTAATACTGGCTGTGAAGCTTTGTTGTGCTGCCTCAGGTTTGCTTGCTTAAGAAATTGTATGGCAGTCCTGGCCAGGTCTACATGTTCTCATTGCTTCTCCAGATAAAGTGGATGATCCTGTGTGTGATGTCCAGATTTCAAGAATGCTGGAGCTACCCCGTCTCTATAGAGAAGTTTATGATAAACCTTTCAAGGGCCCTGAGGAAATACAGAGGTAAATGCAGTATGCAGAACTGCTCCTGGGGTGAAGTATGGGTTATTATTATTGTTTACTTGTAATAACTCTGGAAAAAAAATAGAACAGGGCCTGGCTGTGATTTAGACTGCATTAATATACAGTGTGCTTTTCTCCCAAATAATTGATTATACATAGAGATGAGATACTTGTCCATAATCTGAGGAAAGAAATATAATGCTGAACTAAAGTGAATATTAGGAAGAAAACAAAATACAATAAAAGCGTACAGACCTATTTCATCTAGTGAGAAAAGTTGGGATTTAGAGCAAGATTTGGGGCTGAGGTCAGAGAGGATGGAGAAGTATCCTTGACTGATACTGTTTTATGTGTAAGATTGAGGAGCTATCCACTGAAATGCTCTCCTGCCCTTGTCATTGTCAAATCACAAATACATAACCTCAATAAGCTGAGTTAAACACCCACTCCTGTATTCAGTTTCAGGGAAGCTGGATGCTTATTGGGAGGCTTGGTGCATGTAGTGTTGTTTCAGAGACTGCAGATCTTAAATTCACAGAACTGTAATAGCAAATGATTGAAGAAGAACAGTTGAATGTTTATACTTATAAAAATTATCTGGCTTAATTAAGGAATTAAATTCAAATTCTTTAAGGACAGTACAATATCCTTTGACCTTTGAAACCTGTCCAGTGAATTGACTTTATGTGATTGTTCTAAAACCCATTTCTTACATTTTGGCATGTTCTGTGTATGCTTGTAGTGACTTGGAGGGTCAGAATTTCTCAGTTCATATGCTGCAGGAGAAAGTGCAAGGCTTTCTATTAGAAAACAAAATTCAGACCTTTTACCAGCAGGAGTTGGAGACAGTTGATTCTCTGGTGTCTCTGATGGGTGTGCATCTACCCAGCCCCACCTGTGAGGAGGTGAGTGAATGCACATGTTCCTTGCTTTTAGTGGGGGGAAATAATACCATGTACTTTTTTAAAGCATAAACAGATAAGAGACTGGTGTCTTCAGAGGATTCAAAGAACACTAGTGCTTTAGCTTTACACATTAATTATTTACAGAGCTTGAGGAAATCTTGTTACTTTAGACATAAAACTGGGCTGGAAAAAGTAATGTAAGAACATTCTGTTATTAGGGGTAATCTTGTGTTAGGGCTGAGCAATCTTACAGCCTGCAACAGTCACTACTTTATTTAGATTTGAAGTAGTAGCAATGTCAGAAAAAGAGATTCCTTTAAGGTGCTTGAGTTTTTTCAGACAGAGGTTGGAGACCCTGAATCTGATCAGGAGAAGGGAGCACAAAATCTTTGTCTTGTTTCTCATTTAAAGCTCAATATATTAATAGAGATGCAGCTTTCAAGAGGAGGTTATGATCATGAGTGGATGAACAGTGTTCCCTGCTACATGTTTCTCACATTAGAAATGCCTAACTGTGAAAGGCCATGATTGAAAGGATGAGAAGGTGGGATTAAAGTTTACAGGCAGTTGCATGTAATGAAACTATTAAGAAACTTTCCAATGAGTTTATAACCTCTTGATCAGCTGCAGAATGGGAAACAGAACAAAACTTGTTTTGTAAAATGGCATTATATTATTCTGTATTAGTTGGACAAATTACAAACCAAATTCTGAACTGGCATGAAGCGATAAATTTCTGCAAAGCTTACAGTTACATCTTTTACCATGAAAGCAATGGCAGTTGGAACTTAAACTGGACTGTTGTGATTCATTTGTTTACTTTTTGCTTTTCTGCAGAGGAATAAATCCCTGGCAGTCATTTTCACCCTGATTTTGATGTGCACTGTAATGTTAAGTGCTATGTTCTGTTGACTTCTAATATTTGCTTAATTCTTAAGAAACCCCGCAAAAATAACACAAAAGCCAGTCTCTTGCAGATGAGGTCAAATAAGAATGAAAAGTAGCTCTTTTCTTGTTGGCCTTGTTGAACTGCTGCTGATAGCTGTTCTTGATAGCTGGGTTGGGGTGGTTTGTTTGTTTGTTTGTTTTTATTTAAAGCATTTTTTCCTGGTTTGCTTTAAAACAAACATAGATATTAGCACTAGCAGGAGCTATTCTCATTTTAGACAGAAAAGTTTGCTAGTAGATTATCCAACATGGCACCTGGTACTTTCTAAACCAGCTGGAACAGTATGAAAAGTTCCCAAATACTTTACATTAAAGAAAGTAGTGGCCATTGTGTCCAATACTGGAAACTTAAACGCTTCAGCATTTATAGAAAGACCAAAATAAATAATTTACAAAGCCATTTAAAGTAGCAACTAGTGCAGAACAAACATAGAAAGACCGAAAAAATCCCCCAAGATAACTCAAACCAAACAAAACATCAACCAACCAAAAGAAAAACAACTCAAAAACGCCAAACCAAGAAAAATACTGTAGCATCAGTGTTGTTAGCAGTCATGAAGAGCTATCATAGTAATTAATAGTTGCTCCTGACCCTGATACAAGGATGTGAGTGTATGTCCCAGGAATTGGGGCACACAGATGCTTATTTAGAAATTGCAGTTCTCCTTATTGTCCTTTACTATTAATTTCTTGCAAATAAGGTTATCTGTTCTTGCACAAGAAAGGACCTGTAGTTGTCAAGTGGCATGAATGCCTTAGGAGTGCCTAGTAATGCTCTGGAAATGTATTTCCTTGTTCAGCTACTCTGTCTCTAGAAGGTGTCACTTTTAATAATTGGCAAAGGGTCAAGTACCCAGTTCTGTCCACAAAAGGAAGTGTAATAGATCAGATTTCTGTCCCTCTTCCTTTCTTTTCTCTTCAGTAGTCTTTTGTTTTGCACTGCCCTCAAACCAAGAGGATAAATGGTGCTGGTGATGTGGAACAATGCTATTTTGGGCCTGTTTGGCAAGGCAGGAGTTACAGAGCCTACTCAGCTAATTAGGCTATGCCAAAATATACACACTTGTTCACTTCTTGCACTTTTCCTGGATCTAAAAGGAGGAGTTATTTGGATGTATAGGTAATTTTTAAATCCAGATTCCAGTGTTCTAGAGCACAAGTTGCTGTTAAACTGTTTGTTTCCTTTCTGTTCCTCTCCCCCTTTCCCCCTTCATCTCTTTCCCAACTTTTAAAGCACTTGCACGGTATTCACCATAGTGGGAGGATTCTCCCTGTGGAATATTTTCTCCAGGGAGGTGATGAGCTGCTGTGGAGTGGAGCAGAGGGTGAAAATGGAAGGAGTTAGCTGGGATAGTTTGAGGTAGGCAGCATCTCTGTGCTGCTTTTCAGCATTTTTGTGTAGCTGAGCCCTTTCCACAACCCATACATGTCCTACAATAAATACTTTGTTCCAGTCCTGATGCCTCCCTGGCACTGCAATCTTCTGTCTATCCAGAATAAATTTCCCTCTGGCAAATGCATCTGGCAGAACTGAAATAATTTCCTCTTCTCAGACATATACTAGGGAAAATTTAATTTTATAGTCTACAGATGATGAGGAAGAGGATTTAACTGCTTTTAAAAATAGTTAAAAATTAACAAATCTTTTATGAGTTTTAAAGCCACTGGACCTTTAATTTGCATAACCAGTTCCCCATCTATCCTAAAGGTGTAGACTTTTCCCTGCTCCTTAAAACAAGTGACTTTTGAGTCTGGTGGGGTGGGTGCCCGAAGGAAGACTACAAGTAAAACAAGAAAAAGTAATTTTGTGCTTAGAGAACCTCCAGACTATATTTGCTGGACTTAGGCAATTATGTTTGGCAAACAGACAAGCCTTTGGTCCCTCTTTTAAAGAAAGCTACGTTAAGTGGATCCATCCAATTTCTCAACTGAAATGCTTTAAACCAGCCAGTCTTGATTAACAATATTTCTGCCCTTCTGCCATGCATAAGCTATAGTGTGTGCTATTTTAGTGCTGCCATTCCAGTTCATGAATGTCACTGGCTTGGACACGTAACTTGAGTTGTGCTTTCCAGAGGGTGCTCTTTGTACTCCTCTTGATTTGAGTATTATCTCAAGGTCACCAACAAGAAATAGTTAAAGCAGGAAGTTTTGCAGTGTTGCTCACACTGTCTGTGTCTACCCTGTACATTGTACTGTAGGTGTAACACGGTTCATTGTAAGTTCTTGAGGCAGTGTCTTTGTCTTTCTGCCTCTTGAGGAAGTGTCACCACTGCTTTAAATATGTATATTGCAAGGCTTATTATAGGACTTCAGGATTGACATGTCCAGGATCACTATTACTAAAACTGTCACATGCCTAAGCCCAGGATTAAACATTGCATTAGAAACTGCAAAAGGTGATTCCATGAGTAGAATCAAATGTGTAGTTATACCAGGAAACTTTAACACCACCAGGGTGTGATTAATAATGAGTCAAAGGTTACATAGTTCCAGTGTTTTGAACAGACTCACTGACTCCTCTGCCACTTCATTTCTTTGACCTATTATTGATTGTGCAGAGAATTTGTCTTGTTTTAAAGATCTGAGAATAACTGGTTGCACAGCACCAGCCCACTGAGCTATCAGTGAGGCCTGTCAGTTGGAACATATTGATTAAAATACCAACTTAATTCTGGATACATAGATTCTTCTGTTGGCTGTGCCACAGAGCCCTTGGCCATTTTTGGGAGTGAGGGTAATGATAGTAAAATTATTATTTAATAGCTGCTTCTTTGTCAGGTTACACACATACACACACACAATGTGTTTTACAAAAGGGATGACTGATCTTTGAATGCTCCTGTTTTTTGGATGTACAGTTTTAATTTATTTGAAAAGGACCTGATTTGGAAGACAGGGGGAAGACTCTGCTGTCACTGCTTCAGAGAATCTGAAATGGTGCACCCTGAAACTAAGGCATGCCCAAGGGGGGCACTTTGCAAAAGGAGCTGTGAACACTGTGAGAGATGCTGGGGAGAAGTGCTATTGACCTGTGCATCTGCAGGATGAGATGCTGGATTTATTTTGGGTGGACCAAAAGAGCAGACTAAGCAATTTTAGACTGTGTTGACAAAGAAACTTAAGTGCTGTTTTACCCAGAGGAATGGAGAGGAGGATGCAGGTTCTAGAGCACACTAAGAAAAAACCCCAAATTTTTCCTGTCATTTTATGGTACTATTAAACACCAATAGTACATAATATTTTTGTATTAATATACAAAAATATGGTATTAATAAAATAGGCAGGAGCCTTATTTTGGTTTTCAGAAACAGTCCTTCTGCCATGAAGCCCTTTTCTGTGGATTCTGCAGCACATACAAGAGTGCTGATATGGAGCAGCTGCTTACTTATATTAAGGCCTCGCTGCTTTCACTCTGTCAATGCCTTGACTTGCATTCTTAGTGATTCTGTTTCAGTATCCATCCAGGCTGAGCTGTGTGTCAGTTCACACAGAGTCTGTTTTTAATTATCTCCCTTTTCTGACAGTATTTCAGTGGTAAGCCAAACTGAATAATTATTGTGCTTCTTTGGAAATATTTTTATCTTTTTTTCTCCCCAAATGTTTGCTTTCACATTAAAAATTGATCAGAGTCTTGAGTTGGTTGCTTTGCTAGCAATTTCTTACATTCTTGAGGATTTATTTACTGCATTGAGTGAAAGGCAAAGTCTCTTCATTTTACATATGGCTGTGAGAGTGTGCGTTTCTGTGAGCAAATATTCACTCTTCACTTAATCCTTCCTGGTGCATTTTATGTTTATTTCTTCAGTTCATCAGAAGAGGCACAATGAAGAGAAATACCTTAGTGCTATTAATGCTGTGTCTGGAACAGTGTCCAGATGCATGGCCAAGTTTGTAATTAGAAGTAGAGTCTGTTGTTATCCAGATTGATGCTGTGGTGGACAGGAGGACAGACAAGGTTCAGGCACTGAATCATTCAGTCTGAAACAGAGGAAACTAAACTGAGAATAACAGCCATTGTTCTGTGTTAATTATCTTGAAGTATTCAGCAATTATTTTTACTAGTGATTTGAGAGGAAAAAGAGAGCTGTTGTGGAACAGAGAGATGTGATTATGGCCTGTAGAAATCCTGAGGGTTATCTGGAGGAACAGGAGGGAGAAACTTGTGATGCATGTTAACACCAATATCCCTTTTGGATCCCAGTACTATTCCCAGTTACGAACATCAGCTTCCAGGCTGTTGGAGTGTCACTTGAGAACAAATGGATTGAATGAATGTTTTGTGAGGAGATATTCTTCCTTTGCTCCTGTGGTGTCCATTTTGCATATTCATGGACTTCCTTTCTGGTTCATGATGATTGCCTGCTTCACTCCCGAGGCTCTGAGCTGCTTCTGGTGAGTGAAGTAGGATATGTGAAGTCTGATATTTTTGTTCAGAACAGGGTGGGAGCATTTATGGTGATAGTTGAAGGAATGGCTTGGCAAATCTTGCTCTGGTTGCTCTGGTGTGGTTCTAGTTATCTCATGGTGGTTTGTGGGAAGGAGTTTAGCTCCCTTCTCAAAGAAAACCACAGGGAGCACAGTGTGCTCCCAACAGATGAGAAAACAGCAATTGGGAAACTGAAGCAGTGTGTGTAGATAAATGGGAGGTTGAAGGACACAGTAGGACAGATGGAGATGGAGAAAAGTAAATTACAGTCTTGGTCTTATCTACACATACTTTCCCTTCTCCACAAGGAATTATTTCCTTCTACTTCCCTAGCTGTCCTTCCACTCTCTTAGCGCTGCTCTACTTCCAAACAAACACTACTTTTCCCTGGTTTTTTTCCCCCTCCCCTTCCTTCCTTCTACTCTGTTAGATGTGTGGCAAACACAGAACCTGTGTTCTAAATAACCTCAGTTATGGACTTCCAGACACATTATTCTCCTTTCACAAAGACTGATTTCCCACCTGCCCTCAAAACTGAATCCTTTGTTTCCTTATTTTGTATACTTGTCTTAATTTCTTGCATGCTTTTTATCCTTTCACTTAATTAGGCTATGGAGAAGCTCCTGAGAGCATGACGAGAATGTTTGTAAAAATTTGGAACAAGGGTGGCAAGAAACAGATACTGGTTTTGTCAGTTTTCTCCTTTTCCTGAAATCAGGAGATGGGATTCCTCCTGAATATCATCCTACAAAATACTGATTTCCCTACCTTCCTACCTTTATTACCAGGAAAACTCTAAAGTGAACAAAGCTTGATTAACAAAAAAGTCAAATGATCTGCAAGCATCACAAGTATATTCCAAAAAAAAAGATTTCTCTGTGCATCACCAAATAGCTGCTAATCACAAAGAAGGCAGTTTAGAGGTTGTGGTTCCTTAAGATTGGTAAAAGTTTCTGCTGTTTGGGTTTTATTTAAAGCTCAGAGATACTGGTTATTTCATACATAACAGATAGGATTTGTAAATTACTAAATGAAGAAAAATGTGTAACAAAATTAATGTTAAAGATAATCTGAAGTTATCTTCTTCTTGAAAGCATCTGTAGCTTTTGCTGGTAACTTTGGTTGATCTGAGATTTCTCACCATCTGCTTCATTCCTTTTTTTCTATCCAGGTGAAGTCAGAAAGTAACTCCAGTTCCAAAAGGATTCATAGTGTTTTTAAGGAAGCAATAAAGATGCTACAAGAAAAAGGAGTGGTTTTCCAGAAACCTAGCAGCTCCAAGGACTTATACTATGTAAGGAATTGAGCTGTTGTTGCAAACAAGTTCAGTAGTATGACTTTCATAATCAGTAAAAACAGTAAAAATATTACAGAAATAGTGGAAATGTTTCAGAAAGAGAAGCTAGACATCCAGGTGCTCTCAGTTTACTCAGAAGTATTTTCTGCAGCTTACTTCACTGTTGGTTGTACCTCTGTATCACCCACTGAGTTGTTCCAGGTTCTGCCTGTGTTCACTGGGCTGCCAAACTGCTCTGATCCAGCTGAGCCAACTGAAACATGGAGCCCAGGGCAGTTCTCCTTATCAAAGTGGGTTCAAGCTTGCTGTTCTGCTAAGTCAGTCACCCTCCTTTGGGTCAAACTTAGTTGTATTATGTTCTTCACCTAACTCATGGATGCTGCTAATAGTAGTAAAAATATTGCCTGGAGATTTGACATTCATTATTAGTCTTGGAGGCAGCATGAAATGCAGAGTGTAATTATGAATACACTATGGCATTGGATTGTTTTTCAACAGCAAGGCCAGTTTCTCCTTTTTTCTTCAGGTGACTGAGCATGATAAGGAGCTGTTTAAAGTGACCCTTGATGTGATTAAAGAAGACTGTCGAAAACCCAAGCGTAAGTAGCAGAGTGATCCAGCTCTGTTGAGCTGGTGCTGATATACTGATGACAATATCTCCTCCTGCTGCTGGATTGGATATGCTGCTTGTCCTCACCCTCTAACTCAATCTGTTGCTGGTGTAGCTAATCAGTATAGCTAAAAGCAGGAGTGCAGGAGCAGCTTCCTGTGAGCATGGAACGAGAAAGAGCAGGTGTGCCCAGCAGGAAGCAAACTTCTGCTGCAGGAAGCAGCCATTATCTTAGATCTGTATCTTTTGAGAATACTTGGATTTTGGGAGGAACCAAATGTAATGAAGTCAGGTCACCACCTAGCAGGTGTTGCTTTGCACTCTGGAGAAGTAGCAAATCTTGCTGGTTCAGTTTCTACAGGGGAGTTGACACAAAAGTGACCATGCAGAAAGGTAAAATCCCCGCCTCCTTTAAATCAACAATAAAACTTGCTTAAGTCAGGAGGGTATTCTCTGGAGATTTTAAGCTCAAGTAGAGCTCAGATGGTATTTCTTTGTAGTTAAGGATTTCAGTTGAACAAAGTTTATTTCTTTTCAGATAAGGTGCCTCAGGTGGCTGAGTTATCCCTGTTCATCAAACTATTGTGTCTTATTGCCAGAGAGATAACTTGTGCCTGACTTGAATGTGTTCTAATTACACAAGTACATTGCTACAGAGTGTCTTTCAGTTCATGGGATAGAATGTGCCAGCAGGGATCACTTGCTGCCGGAGTGCAGCTATTTGTGGGACAGAATGTGCTTTAGTACAGAATAAATGACTGGCTGGAACATAAGGCATAAAATCTTAAATTGCTCATATCCCTATACTATCATAACTACAATAGCACTTGCAAGACCTGGAGTATGATGGTTATCCTGCAGTGAAAAAAAGGCTAAGTCAGGAAAAATCAAGTTTGAGTTTTAACTGTCTCTCATAAGAAGTCACACAATTGTAGACAAGGTCTTGGGGTTACTACTGGGCATGCACGTTAATATGGGCTTGTTTGCCTGAGGGTGTTTCAGTGCAACAAATTGCTGTATCACATTGTTTTATTGTCTTTTATCCAGTTAACAAACATAATTTCTCTAAGAGTCAAATCATTCCTTTGCTCATTTTATACATCAGCCAGTTCTCCTGATAACCTGATTTTTTTAATATAACTATACCACTATCAAGGCCAGAACCTCTATACAGCTGACAGAGGCACTGAGTGACTGCCTCCCGTTTGTTCCCTTGTGCATTGTCACACTGGTCAAGTACTCTGTGATCCATGACAAGTTGGGAAGTTCTTTCGGTCAGGAAAGTCAACAGCAGAGAGTAATTTGTAGATCAGCCACAGAAAAGACTTTGAAGAGACCTGAGCCCTCAAAGCCATGTTTTCCATAATAAGCAGTTTAAAATTAGCAACTGTTTTACAAACCCTCTTGTTCTCCTCGAAGCTTTCCTCCTACTTAGTTTCCCGCTGTAAAGAGGACAACTTCCAGGTCAGGGTCCCTTTGCTGGTTTCCAGAAGGACCATTTCGATGTCCTGGTCGTTGGCAATAGACGCAAAGGCAAGAGGCTGCGCTGGAGCCCAGCCGGCGGGGCGGGATTTGTCGTGCGGGGCTGATGCAGGAGCGCGGAGCTCGGCGCGGTGTCCGCCCCCTCTGCCGGCGGCTCCAGCGGCACAGCAGCGCACGGGCATTCACCTCCAGGGCTGCTTCTTGTGTCTGCGAGAAATTCCTACCCGCTTTCCTCCAAGAGTAATAGCAATCTTCCACGACAAGAAGGATGATTTATGGCAATTCAAACTCTTCTCTCCGATGAGTTACTTCTCTGCCAGTTTTCCAGGCAACGCCTTGCCCCATTGCTGTAGTCGTGACACATTCCCAGGCCCAACCCAGCTGTCTGAAACTATTGTACAAATTTAAAAAAAAAATTTGCCTGCTTACTCAGAGCTGCACAAGCCCTGATCTGTAATGTGCCTACATGACAATCCTAGTCCTTGGCTCCACTTATAATACCTGATCTTAAATGCACTCATGAAAGACCACTGTGGGTCCATCTAGAAACTTAATATAGCCAGATAGCACATTTCTACTCCAGACTGAATTGCAAAATGGATTTGGGTCTTGGTTTGTTTCTTTGTTATATAAATTGGCCCTGTTTCTCTGTTTTATGAATTTTAGGCTTAGATCAGGCTAATGGAAGAGAGGACAAAAACCAGAACCACTTGACATTAAATTTAATATGTCAGAATGCACCCTGTGTGAGATGTCTGCAGTGAGCAAATGGTAGTTGTTCTAAAAACTCTGTCCCCTCTGATGTTGGTTGTCAGGCAGGACAGTTAATGACAGCCTGGCTTCCCTCAGCTGCTGGACAAAAGCAAGAACCCAGGATGTCAGTGAAAGAGGGACAGGAGTGTTTTGGGTCTACTTAATCATTGTACACATCTGCAGCTTCCCCAAAGTGCTGTCTTCGACCAGCATCTAGGGGGTAGGTACACATTGTACTGTTAGGTAACACTTGAGTCATTAGTGTAATTCACTGAGATTTAAATTACTGTATATCAGGGATGGGCAATTTGACTTTCTTATGACAAACCTATGACAAATGCAAAGTGCAGCTACCTATTTTGTTTGCAACAACAATCACTATGACCAGGTAGAGGCATTGTTCTGTTCTCTGCAGTTATCTCTCCCAGGGTAGTGGACACATTTTTGGCTACTGGCCACAAAGGTCTTTTTATCATGCTGGATACTTCTGAGGAAGTATTTCTGCCTGATTCACAGCCTAATCAGAATTAGGTTGAACTGTTTATTTACTGTTATCTACCAGTGACTTTTCTCAGCAGGTTCTAAGGCAGCTCTGGAGCTTAGCAGATTCTAGAGTAGAGAATTAACTAAAAAAATAAAAAACCCAACAAAATATAGACCCCCTTCCTGGCCCATGGCAGTTTCTCAGTACCCTTATCAAACTTGCCTTGCATCATGTGAACTAAGGTGAAGGAAAATAATTTGTCCTGATAAATCTGATTTATGTCTGTTTTCCATTGTCAGCTGATGTGGAAAAATAGGTTGTGGACCTCAGCATATAGGGGACTGAGAGCTTGCTTGTATTGGGTTACAGGCTGTGTTGGAGGAAATGATGCCTGGGACAGCTTGAAACAATGCCCCACCTGGCAGAGAAGAGATGTGTTCAGTCATGAAAGACCTCTGTGCTTGCCCCTAGCAAAGGGGGTTATTTTAAACTTCTGTTCTCTTGTACATTGCAGGGATAATTCCACTTAAAAGGAGACAAAATCTGATACTGATGGTTCAATGACTTTATACTCCCATAATTGCCTGGGTGGTCTGCAGGGTAGGGGTAGGATAGCATTGTGAGGTGAATGCAGTTGCAGTGCAGCAAATTTTCCACAAGATGCCAGCGTTGGGCCAGCGGTTACAGGCCCTGGCAACGCACCTCCCTGCTGTGCTAGAGGTTGTGAAGGTGGGTCTCAGTAAAATGACTTCCATTTGGTTCCTTCTGAAGTTGAAAAAACTGGATGGCCTGCATAGGTGGACAGTAGAGGTACCCTTACATTATTAAACTCCTCACCAAGTTCTACTGAACCTTGTATGTTAAGAGTTGTCAAGACTGAGCTATCTTTTCCCCTCATTACTACTGTTACAGCCCTGATACTTCCCAGAAAAGTCACTGGGAACAGTTGATAATTGGAGAACTCTAGGCACAGAGAGGATCTCTTTCTTCTGAATACACACCTGTTTCTGTATCTAGGGCTCTGGTATTTTTCATGATTGATCTGTATTATGATAGCTCAAAAGAGGCAGACTGAAATACTTCCTCCATGCCTGGCTGTATTTTCCTTTTTCCTGCAGATGCTGAAAAAGGCTGCCATTTCCTTCATGTCCTGAGTTGTGTTCGGCAGAGCTACAGCCCCTCGCTGCCTGAAGTGGTCATGCACCGTGTCTTGGAACTACTGGAGAGTAACAGTGATGTTGTCAGCACTATGGAAGGATATTTCATGGTATTTTAAAGAGAAAAGATAAGAAAGAGAGGTTGAGAGACTGTGAGAAGCTGTAATTATCTGGTGTGATCTAGATAGTGGATAAAAAGAGCCTTTTGATTCTCCAAATGTTATTTTTGTCCAGCTTCAGAGAAATTGTTCAAATACTTGTTTTAATGTTCTTCCTGACAGCCTTGCTATTCCTAGTGAAAGTGATTCTGGATATTCTAATCTAGCAGGGAAACTGGAAAAGAAACTGTTCTCTTGGAGTAGTATGAGACATTCACCATCCTCACATCTGCATCCAATGGGCCTTAAAGAAAAGTTTCTGCTAAAGATCACTGTTTACAGCAGTGGTCATCTCAGGAGATATTTTTCTGGCTTAAAGACTGATCTTGCTAGGTTTCATATGGTAATAGCTGTGGATCTTTCTTTTTATGTGAACTTGTGACACCTAGAGAAAGGACACACAAACAGAGGGATTTGCCTGTCCTTCCTGGCAGTGCTGGTGCATCTTTGTCTGTGAATATGTGTTCCTCAGTCTGGACAGCTTTCCCACTACTAAAGCAATCCTTACCATTCTTTGTAAAGTAATGTTCAGGAATGGGGTCCTGCATCCCTTCCCAATCCTGCATCCCTTGCCCACTGGTTGTCAAGCATGTGTGTGTTCCTCTGCATTCTCATCTGTGCCACTGATACCTGTTGTGGTTTCTCTTCAGACAAGAATTCTCAAAATCAGCTACAGTTTTCCTGTTTCAGTTGCTTCCTAGATCACAAATGGTAAAGCATAAATTAGATTGTAAAAGAAAATACAGAAGCCAATGAGACCCACTGTAATTGCCTCCGCCTGCTATTTTTTGTGTCTTTTATTCTTTGGCACTTTTGTGGTAAAATACTGCCCATATCTGTGCTTGCAGAACACAAGGCACAGATGAAAGAACACTGGCCTAAAGAAGGTTACCATGCAAGATGTTTGATCTGGAATAATAACTCTGTTATGTGCAACAGTTAAAAAACTGTTCAATATTTATGCTTAGAGAGGGCTTGCTACTGCAGGGACTTGTCTGTTTAATTAATCTGTTTAATTTATGGCGTGGAGGTGAGATCTTTAACTTGAAAAGAGTACAAAAAGATTGAATTTATCCTTTCTTCCTCTGCACCTTCCCTGTAACAGTTGAAACAGCAGACTCCCAGGAGACAGCTGTAGTGGTAAAGCCCTATATAAGGATTGACATAGCAGGGAAAAATAAACCATATGCATGAGGAAAGCCAGTGAGTAGCCCCATGTGTGCCAGCTCTCTGGTTTGTTATATTATCTGCCTCACTCCAAGCCCTGGCTGCAGTGAGATATAGGCTAAGAGAAAGGCTTGACAAAATATTTGGCATTTGCATTCAGAGGCCCATGGAAAACTCTGGCCTTAAAGAGACAGTAAGTTTGTTCATGGTAGAGAACTACGGATAAATCATTCATTTGCTGTGTGTTCCCTACTTGCTGCAGGACTCAGTAGTTGGTTTCCTCACATTGCTGGTCTGGTCTGAGTCAGGTACCTTATAGTCAGATCTTAATATGGGCCCTGAATGGATGCTGAAGGGATGTACCTGTGCAGAAGGAAATAGAAAAGGATTAAGGAAAAGCTGTAGAGTGTTTGTTCCCCACTCCCTCCCCACGCCCTGGATAGCTCTATAAATCAGAGAGAGAAGGCAGATGCTGAGCGAAGTGCTACTGAGGGGAATTGAAACTTTAATTTATGCCTATGAGAAGATCTGGTTGGCCACTGGGGAGATTTGCTTTTAAATTCCTGCTCTGTTGTTGATGAGTTTGAAGTGATGCTTTAAAAAAGGCTGTCTATGGAAGAAGTAGCTTGGAATATCGATCCCTAAATTCAAATTCACTTCAGGAATTGCCCATAGTTAAACAGTACATATGGTTAAGTTGCTTATTTGGAATTAATTTTAGGATATTTTAAAGGAAAGTATGATGTGTTTCAGACCATTTGGAAGAGCATGGCATCTAATTTACAAGACTGTCTTGGCCACTTTCTTGAAATGTTCTATATTAGCAGAAGCTTATTTTGCTGGGAAAGGGTTAAAGGAACAGTGCTAGCTCAATGGGAAAGGTGATCCCCTCTCTTAAGTTAGAAGAAAGGCCCTGGTTCTCCTGAGGATGACAGCTGAGTGTGTGGGCTGGATGAGTTCAGGGAGAAAGAGAGTTTGGAGATCATGTTGCTCTTCAGGATCTCTTTAAAATAAATTCATACCAAAATAGGATTAAATCTTCAGCTTTGCAGTTTGTATAGTTACATGTGCAAATTATGTTGCCTCCAACTCTGAGGCTGCACTTACTGTGTTTTGGATGTGTTTCTTTGTGTAAAGTTTGCCTAAAATCCCTGTCCAGTGATTTTCTATGCTTGGAGGTAGAAAGGGCAGACACTTATATCTGCATCAGTCTTGCCCTGTTGCAGTTCAAAAGCAGTGAACATCTGCAAAGCCTTGGAGATGAGGTGGAAGAAACTTACCTCAGGAAACATGGTAAATTATTCTGGAAAGAACCTGTCCCTGGAAGTTTTTAAGTTGATCCTTGCTGGGAGTACTCAACTCTTGTGATGGAGGGTGTGTTCTGATGGTATTTGTTACCTAAGAACAGGAAAAAGGGATTTTTCTCACATGAGTTGTCTCAGGGAAATAAGATGAATAAACACCAGGGAGCCTATAGTTTTTACAAGAGTGAAAGGTTAAGCTAAAGTTAATGGAGGAGGCTAGGTTTAAGCTACAGATTTCCGACTGTCTCTACAGAATAGTTGTGTCTTAAGCTTGCATGCTTTATTTTTTCCACAGTAGCCACCCAGCCCAGGTTAGCAATTACTCTGGTTGAGAGCATTCCCTCTTGCACCTACAGGGAATACAGGATGCATATGCCTGCACAGCAGTGCCCTGAGGAGCTGTGGGAGCACAGAGCTCACTGTAGGCTGATTTACCCATTCACTCAGTATCTCTACAGTGTGCTTCTGTGACAGCAGTCTAGACATACCCATGTTGGTATAAGTCACCTTTATGTAAGTCAGACTACACACACTAGGGCTTTTACTGCAAATAAACTGTCTCTCTGTTTAAATATCATATCCTTAACCAACAGAGTCATATCATGCACACTGTTAAAATTCTTAGACCACACCTACGAAATATTGTGCAGACCATTCAGTGAAAGCATGTTTTCTTGTTTTGTTTAATTTGAAAACTCATTAGGCAACGCAATTATTACTGGTTTATTAAAGAACTTAGAAGGTGGCACTTTAAAGTAAGACTGACAAGTGAGAATTCATGTTGTAGAACTGCTTCATGGCCAGTTCCAGTTTCCATAGTAACAGTTATGGCAGTAAATGGTAGGTAAGGAAAATGGAATTTTTAAAAGCAGTTGGCATTTCTACATTATCTCAAAAAAGTAAGTTTCTGTAGAAATTCAGCACCTGAGAACAAAAATTACCTAAGAATCTCAATATTATAGGAAAATGCATGGTGATTGCTTTTTTGGTGAGGAAACAAAGAAACAGATTTACCTTTAGTCCCTGCCCCCTGCTTATGTGAGAGAAGAGATGAGGTTGCTTCATACCTCAGTTTCCTCCTTCTGTAAATTGTGAATAATACAACTCCCTGTGTAGGTCATAAGCCTCAATTTTTTTTTTAGTCCAAGTCATTAAAAGCTCTATGGGAGCTATTAGAGAAAAACTGTATGGCTGTGGGGGAGAGAGTGAATGGATAGGTGTTGGAGTGGGACTTAGGAAGAGTTGTTCTTCTATTAGTACTAATAGCTTTGTATTTTTGTGCCTCTTTTTCCATGCATATTGCTTTGCTTGTCTTGTCATCTTTCTCTCCAACGCCTATGAGGCAATGATGATCTCCGTTTTTATTTGTATCATATTTTTTCTGGAATCTTGTTTCCTCTTATGACTTCTTAGATGACTTCATAAAAATAGAAATCCAGATAAATTAGTTCTGAGTATTCTTGTTCTGAAATTGTTGGATTGTAAATTTGGACCCATGAGGACATGCATTTTACACAACCTGCCTGGGAAATGAAGATTTACTTTCAAAATAATAAATGACCAAGTTAAATATTGGTGACATGACTAAAAGCTGTTACTGTTTTCAATCTATGTATACTTGTGTATTCCAGTGATGAACAACATAAATAGGACTTACTAATTCATTATTCAAAGTGGGAATTCATCAATGAGCAGCCAGTGAGGCATGGAGCCACACAGAGAATTACGAGACAAAGTACTGGAAATCTGTTTGTCAAAGAAATGCTGTTTGGTTTACTTTGAGAGTAAGCTGATCCTGTGGGGAAAAGATGTGCCTAGCAAAGATTTGTATCTTTATACTTACCTCTAAATGGGAAAGGGAGCAAGTTCAGATCCCATGGGCACCCTGAATTTTGAAACTTCCTGTCAGTGCAGCGCTATGTTCTTTATTGCTGTCTTTCAGCACAGTCTCCAGTCCTCCTGCCCCAACCCTCCAGGCTAGAGCAGAAAAAGTTCAGCCACAAAGATAAAAGAATAGTTACAATAATTGGTTACCATTCTCCAGGAGTCCCAGCATTACAGCAACATTTTTGTGGATCCTTGTGGGCAGCAGGGAAATGCTGAGCCAAGGATCTTGGGTTTCATTCCCAGCAGTATACCCTGTCAGGAACAGAAGACTTTCTCCCTAATTTCTTTCATCTATTCCTGAACTCCACTCTCCCCTCTGACTTGATTCTCAGGCCCTTCGTTTCATTCACAGTCACAGATCCTGTCAAAATCCCTTCCTCTATTTTGTTTCCTTTATCTTTCCTAACTCAAATATCCTTGTCAGCATTTGGCAATTGAAACTCTCAGAATAATTCCCTTGCCTAACTGACTTGACACTGTTCAGAGCCCATTCTGATTCCAGCAGTCTGTCCTTTGCTCCTTGTCTAGGCACCAGAAGAGGCAACTTTCTTCCCAGCAGGAAAGAGCTGCAATTTCAGGAAAACAGCACTCCTTCCACCCCACCCTCCTGAAGATTTAGTAGCACCCTAAATATTCTAGTGGTGGTTTTTTTTTGCAGGTATCCAAGCACAAAAAAATTATAATTAAAAAATAAGAGTCATGTCTTGCCCAAACCTGAACAAGCGGAAGTCACGCCCCTGATAGAAGCTATCTGCCTCTCCCTGCCACTTTCATGTCCTTGCAGATCTCATTGCAGACATGATTTGTAAAGTTGATGTGGACTTCTAGTTTGTATGTCTCCCAGTTAGTGTGTCTCTTTTTAGCCTGTTTTTTTCTGAGAAACTGTGACTCTATTCTGATGTGATTATACTATGTGTCTGGGCATTGGTCAACCTCTGTCCCACCACCCCAAGTGACTTTGGCTAGTTAAGAGATGTGAAGGACCCTGACCTGTTATGGTCTGGCACATTTGTAGGAAATGGATGCACTGATAGAATAGGGAAGCCCAAATCAGTGCCTCCCTGAAAGGGAAGGAAGAAAGTCAGACAACACCAGAGAAACCACACATGGGACAATCCCAAAGAACCTGTTCCTGTAACTTAAGCTGCCACAAGAAGTACTTGCTCTGCAAGTCCTCTTTTAAGAAATGATTGGACAGTTTTTTGCAGAAGTTTCCCCACAGAGATTGCTCTAAGACAGTCATGGTAGCAAACTGCAAATCCATTAAAATCTGGTAAAGCTGCATTGGGGTGCAAAGTTGAGCAACTGATTGTTAATGATGCCACCAGCCCATTTCCACTAATATCTTTTAATGTGCAATGGAGGCTATACTAATCTAGTCACAGCAATTTAAAGCTGAAACCAGCCCAG